ATAGAAATGTAAGATTTTATTATTAATCTTGGCTTTGCCATCCACTATTATCTCATGCTCAGTATGAAAGCTTTGTTCATGCCAGAACTCTTTCTGTCCTCTTACGACTGAGGGAAGTAAAGCTGGCTTGCTGACTTCAACTTCTTGTCCTCTATCTTCATACCTAATTAGATATTTCCTATCTGGGATTGACTCTCTATATAGATAATATGCAGTAATGTATCCTATACTTATTGTTATCCATGGTAATGAATTTAGATATAGACATTGATAAATCGGTGGACATAGAAGTAGATATAGATTATGTTCTATTTCATCAGCTGGTGCCAGCTTTGGGTTCTGGCACATCTTGGTCTACTTTCATTTATCACTTCTAGTATGAATCATAATCTACGTGACAATGAGTCAAATGTTTAAGATCTGATGACTTCAATGTACCTTAAAATAAGTTAATTGATTCAAGTTTGACCTACCCTAAGATGAGAACTATATTTTTCTGTAAGTCAATTTTTAAAGGTTTAAATTTAGTCTCATTTCCCCATCTATACATAGGTTTATTTGGGTAGCAATGGGTAAACTAAGATATAAGATACATTAAAGATATGAAAGTAAATAGATTTTTGGTGATTTCATATTCCTATTCTGCTATAAAACTTGTTCATAGAGCTGACTAGTATATTAGGGTGGTATGCTTTAAGTAACATTACAAATCAAAAAGTAAGAATAAGTGCATTTAATGATCTGGAAAGAACAATGATACCATGCCCGGAAACTCTAAATAAGCTGCCTGCTAAAGAAAGCATTATATTAAAACTGAATAACCATGTTTTGACATTTTTTCTTTATATATGTTATAGCTAAAAAAAAAATGTTGACTCTTCTAAATAGGAAGCAAAACATCTTCTAATATAGAAATTAGTATCCTCATTTTGAGTCTAGTGTGAAAAATAACTGTGTATAGACCAAATAAAGTAAAACCCTATTTAGGTGGTGAAAATCATCATTAAAATTCAAGCACAATCAATTCTATAAGTCAGAAACAGAAGATACTTGACAAATACTTGACAATTTCACTCCTATGTGGAATATAAAGAAACAATCACACAAAGCAAACACAACCCTTAGACTGAAGATAAAAATGGTAGTAATCAGAGCAGACAGTGTTGTGGGATGGGAAGAACAAGTAGAGGGAACCAATTGGATGTTGGTGGAGATTTTCAGAAGTTTGGTGGTGGGCACAGTATAGCAAACATTTGAAGAGGTGTGAATTTGTACTCTAAAAATTGATATAGTGTTTTAAATCAACATCAATTTAAAAAAAATATTCAAGTGCAATGGAAAAGTTTAAAAGTCGTACAGGTTTAGTTGTATTCAAGCTTAACCTCCTTCCACAATTGTTCATTCGTGTTGAAACACCTCTTTAAAAGGATTCCCTTTTCTTTACAATAAAATAGACAATATTTTTGTTTTAGCATAAGTTTCTGCTGAGTTTAGTTTTTTAAAAAAAGGAAAATGTGTAGAAGTATCATATCTCAATATAACATACACGACATGCCCACAATAATCATCATGTTACAGAGCAACTCCCAAGGGGAATGGATGGCCTGCCTGGGAGTTCTCACCCTCATGCTTAAAACAACTTGGGATAAAACCCAAGGGCAGGCACATATAAAAGGTTAATGACAGGTTTATTTACAAAGGAAGTGAAAAGAGGGAGAGCACTGAGAAAGAGAGAGATTAATAGGTCAAGGCTTCCTACCAGTAACACTGCATGAACCCGACCCAGGAGCATGCTGAATGTAGGCAAAGCCGAGTGCTCTGCAGCCCAACAATCCTCCCTTTGATCAAGAGTGGCTGCTAACTCCACCCTTCCTCCCAGCAATCCCCTTTTACAATAGAAGTCAAGGGTTATAGCCTGAAGGGAGTTGTAGTTCTAGGCACCTGGTATCTCTTAAGCCTGGAGGTGAGGGTGGAGTCTATAAAACATTCATGGATGGAGTTTGATTAGGGCATACTGTTCTCTCAATTTGCACTCAATGGAGAAGAGCTGAAAGCTTTTCCTCTAACATTAGGATCAAGACAAAAATATCTACTCTCACCTCTAAAATTTAATATAGTTTGGGAAGTCCTAGCAAGAACAATTAGAATATATATATCCCAAAGACATTAGTATAAAGGTATTAGAAATAATAAATGAATTAATTTATTAATTAAAATACAATTAAAAACGATACAATTAAAAATGATAATTAAATAGTGGGACATACTTTCCCCCAAATAATATAATAAAAATTTCTCTGAAGATTATAGTCATATATTTTATTTCTGCTAAAGTTATTATGGTAGTACTTTTGATAAATGTTTCTATTTTCTGGTAATGAAGTATAATAGAAGTGATATATACACTAAGAATATGCCTTGGAAATAAACCATGCAACATTGAAACTGAAACGTCTCATAACATTCTGATTCAGATAATTGGTGACAAATGATACTATATGTTGCTCATTATTTTTGAGACTTGTAAAAGTGTAACAGGGTGGTCCCCAGGAAAGGGGGAGGTTCCAGGTTCCCTGCCCCACCCAAGGAAGGGTGGAGCTGAGCAGGAAGAGAAGAAGCTGCAGGAAGAGACTGAGGAAGGAAGCAGGATGGAGCCAGGAGACCTGGAAGAGGCCCGTGGAGCCTAGAGACACGTGAAGAAACTGTGCTTGTCTTTTGGTCGTGGACTAGGTGA